CCACAGGCGCCGAGCCGAGAAATAATTTTTAAGATGCTTAACCCTTGTCATAATTAGACAAGTGTGCCTTACAATTATAATCAGATTTTAAAAATAAATAATATGGCGAGGAAGATTAGATCTGGAGAAACAAATCCTCTGGTGTTTGGTGGGGAAAACTGCACAGCTTCTTTAGCAGACAATTAGGCTAAATGTATCAACGTGAAAAATAAACATACCCTTTCAAAAGAATTCTTACAAAATGCAAGAAAGTATATTACCGATTCTCTTACACATGGCATAGATAATTATACACAGGGGTGTTCACCAGAGCATTGTTGGCATTAACAAAATATTTGAAAACAGAAAAGAAAAATGTCCATCAAAACATGACCAGTTAAATACAAAACCATTATGTCCATTCGTCAGAATAATACTAGGAAGCTGTTTAAAAAGTAAAGACAGATCCCAGATGCTATTGTGGAAAGATCTCTAAGAATTATCGTTAAAAAAAGGAACAAATCACAGAACATTATGTACATCATACTACTTCTCTGTGCAAAGAACAGGAAAGTATAGCTGCAACGTTTCTGAATAAAGCCCACGTATTCATAAGTATATATGCCCAGACTAGCTCTGTGTTAAACCGATTGGGATAGTTTTCTCTGTAAAAGGGAAATGTGAGACTGAAGAAACCATAGTGGAGGGGCAAACTTCATTATAATCAATTCCTTATATGTTTGATATACATTGTTTGACGTTTTTTACAATGTCTATATGTCATCAAAGCATTTTGTCTAGACAGACATTTCTAAGAGCCAATTTTGAAGTCAATCATTCCTTTCAAAATAAGAACAGGCCTAGTGTAGTTCAAGGCACAACGTAGCTCACCAAGTCCAGTTCAAATGTGTGAACCGACCTGTGAACACACATACGGACTGTACTGTAACCAAGCACTGTGGGTTACCTAAACCACTGCTCAGAGCTGGCCGTTAAGGTGTGTGGATTACTCAGGCTACGTCTGGGCAGGCTGGGTTAGCATGCAGCCACAGTCACAGCCCTGAAATTCAAAGCAGAAGAAGGGCTTGGTGCCAAATCCAACAGGAGAGAAGCAAACCAAGCCTACGTTATTATTTATCCCTAAGACATCCTCCATTTTGAGTGTCTCTGAAGCCTGTAATTAAACAGAATGAAAAATAGGCTTTTCAAGGCTGAGCTTATTTATTAGGCCATCAGAAGCCTGACTTCCGTCAGTGGAGTCAATGATCTTAAGAATTTCTGGGAAAGGAACGGAAGACAGATAACTAGGAAAGTGACAGAATGGAAACAGGGGAGTATATTTGATTTTGCTTTGGAAATTGCAACAATGACCAACCAGATGCATGGATTAAATAATTCTTGTCAAAAAAAGAAAAAAAAAAAAGGAAAGGAAAATCATGACCCTGCAGCAGGTGGCTGACGAGGAGCATGGAGATTGAACAGATGATGTCTATGGTCACGATAATACGGCAAACAGCATTATTATGTTTGGTGCTAATATAGAAATTCATATTCATTACCACCCTTCTCTTTCCAGATTGCTGTTTATCCCTTTACTTGTGTGACTTCCCCACACCACTTCCAAAAGACAACAGGATGGAATCTAAGATAGTAGTTCCTTCCATTTTCTTCCCAGCATCAAAACAGTTTGATGATTACAGAAAACAAAGTTCAATCATGAATCCCATTTTATTTGCATATTTTTATATATACTTAATGCATCATGAGATAATTCTAAATTCACATAGAGTTTTAAGAAATAATACATAGATCCCATGTAATCTTCATCCAGTTTTCCCAGTGGTGACATCTTATGTAATTTTTGTACTGTATCACAACCAGAAAATTGACACCGATACAACCCACCACTTGCACAACTTTTTAAAAAACATTTTCATGGGTACTCATGTAGTTGCACATATTTATGCAATATTTTATCATTTAAAACCTTGTGGTTAGCTGGGAGTTGTGGTGGGCACCTGTAGTCCCAGCTACTTGGGAGGCTGAGGCATGAGAATTGCTTAAGCCCAAGAGTTTGAGGTTGCTGTGAGCTGTGATGCCACTGCACTCTACCAAGGGTGACAGAGTAAGACCCTATCTCAAAAAAATAAAATAAAATAAAACATTGAGATTAACTCTGTTGTTGAACTAAGTACTTAAGTATATGAATATTGGTAGTGAATTCTCCTTACAGGAAAACCACACTGAAAGTGACAATGGTTATTCGTAAAAGATCCAGTGTTTTAGGTCACAAAGGCTCTAGGAACTTCTTATGTTTTAATATAAGGTTGGAAGGAAGCAAAAGTCTTAAAAAGAATCATGAAGAAGAAGAAAGAGAACATGAACTTGATGGTGTATGAGATTATACATCTTAGATCCACTGAGTACTTGGATGTGGATCTTACATCCTCATCTTTATAACAAGAGAATGGACACATATGTTAATATATTCATCTGAACAGTGCTCATCATTTATCCAGCTCTTCTCTTTGCTAGGAGGAATTAAATCCTACAGAAATGGATAGAATTCCAGGGATATGAGAGCTATCCTCTTGGATTTGGAGCCAGCAAAAGTCCAAATTCCCTGAAGCTCTGAAGTCATATCAATATTTGTCCTTAAAGGTCATGGTGTTCAGGTGTTCAAAAGGATCAAGGACCAAACTTCAAGGGATTAAGTAAGAATAAATAAAATGTATGAATAGAAGTGAGTATGCATTAAAAAAGGTCTAAAGAACAAGTAAGGAGGCATCAGTTACCATCTTTAAGGAAATTAAAGGTACAAGATAGGTCCTGGAACTCAGAAGATCTTGGCTGGAGTCACCACTAACTGGCAGTATAACAATGAAATAGTTCTTTATTACCTCTAAAAATTGTAATTTCAAAAATTATAATAATAATATTGACATATCTCTCTCAAATAATTTCATTTGAAAATATCAATACGGGTGGCACCTGTGGCCCAGAGAATAGGGTGCTGGCCCCATATACTGAGGGTGGT